CCTGCGGCTGCGGCTGCGGGGAACCGCCGACGACATGCTGGCCGTGAGGCTGCGGCGCCCGCTGTCCCCCGAAACGCGGCGCCGCCGGAGCAGCTGGCGCCGCCACACCGTGGTGGTGCAGAGCCCGCTGACCGATCTCAACTTCAACGAGTGGAAGGAGCTGGGCGGAGGGGGCGCCCCGGAGCCGCCCGGCGCGCGAGCCCTCAGCGACAACAAGGACTCGGGCCTCAGCAGCCTGGAGTCCACCAAGGCCAGGGCCTCGGCCGCCTCGCTGCCGCCCGGGGACCCGAGCGCCCTGCAGAGCCAGGCCCCGCGCCGCCAGGCCGCCTCCCGCCTCCATCAGTGTCTGTAACGCCCTCCCCCTCCATCACCGCCCCCCCCACCTCGGCCTCCACAAGGCCCCTTGGGGAACGAGTCTCCTCTGGCTGGCACCCCCACTTCTACTGCCCCTAGACACAGCAGGGTGCTAGCGAGAGGACACAGGCCGCTGGGGTTTGTGTGCTGGAACTGGTGGGGCGGGCTGAGGTGAAGCCAGGAGCAGGACAAAGGTGAAGGGAAGTGAGGCCCCCCCCCCGCTGGGGTCTGTGTCCCCTGGATTGGTGACAGGGCCTTTATAAGGCTGCACTTAGGAACCTTCGTTGGCCATGGGAAGTGAGAGGGAGCCCCAAGACCCAGGCTAGAAGAAAGATCCTGGGTGATCACTGGCTTTTGGCTTCTTTCCTCTGCCCTCCCCCACCAGCCCCCCGGCTCAGGAGGGGCCTGTGTCTGGAGAGAGGATTTGTGTGTGAGAGTGTGTAAGTCACTGTCCAAAGGTGTTTCCAGTAGAAGCTTCTGCTCCCTTCCTCCCCTTGCCCGTTCCCAAGGTCCCTGCCTTCGGTGCACACAGGATCCCTGCCCCCACGCTTGTTAGAGCCGGGGGAAGAGGCTGGGGCCACGCCACAGCGGCAAGACTGAACCCTTCACCAAGCTCATCCCCACCCCCCTTTGCCATCCTCTTCAGTCACCCCATGAAGCGTTTTGACCAAGGGGAGCTACCCCGCTCCCCAGTTTTGGGAGGACCCAGGGTTCCCCCCTTTTGGTTCCTCCAGCTGGGCCTGCTCTGTCCACAGCTCAGCCCCCAGAACTCCCCACCGTTTCTTCCCCTAGGAGGGGATAGTCAGGAACACCCTGGTGTCTGTCTCTTTCACACACTGATTTATGGGGTCTGAGCTGGGCTGTTCCTGCAGGATGGGCAGGGCCCAGCGCCCCCTTCACAGCCCCCCCCCCCAGTATTGTAAATAGACCTCAGAGCACCAGACCCCTGCTGACCCCTCACTCATTCCAGGGAAGCCCTGCCCCTTCTGTCAGTCCTCGTTTTATGCAAAGATTTGCTGTAGATTTCTCTGTCCTCCCTCTCCCAGCCCTTTATTGTAAATATTGTCTCTAAATGTGTAACATATTATAAAGAATTTATAAGGATTTTTAAAGATGTTTTGCTCATTTTAAAGTGTTGTAACAGTGTTGGGTAAAGCTCCTCCCCGCCCTTTCCGCATGGCTCCTTTCACTGTGTCCTTGACACACCTGTCTAGCCGACAACTAAGATTTTCTTGCTTCTGAAAAGTCCTGTCTTCAAAGTACAGTCTATATCTTGGAAATAAACAGCCTTCCTGAAGGCATGAGTCAGCTGTGTCGCTTGTTTGGGAGGGAGGAGGGGACAGAGCAGGGCTGAGATGGGAAGCAGGTGAGGTTCCCAGGCCCCTGGAGGGCAGGACAACCAGGCTAGGCGAGTTAGAGGCAAGCCTCTTCCTTCAGGAGGCTTCTTCTAAGTGCCATGAAGACTGGTCTTAGCAGTGGCGCGGGCATGGGTGCAAGCTGTGAGGGCAGTGGTCGCAGGTGCCTTCAGGCATCAGCTCTCTCCTGCAGGGGCCAGGCAGCTGCACAGCTCCTGCTTCTCTGGTCTGCCAGCCTTCAGTACGACTTCGAAAGTGCTGCCCACCAAACAGGTTTGGAAGGCTACCAGTCTAGGCCCTCCAGGCCAAGACAATATTGCCAAAGGACAGTGTGGGATTTGTATATTGGGTTAGTTGCATGGATACGGTGTAGTGTGGGCTTTCCTCTACATTGTGGTGCTGTACCTGCACCATGCCAGCTTCCAGGTACCTCTGATGAGCCCGTAGTGACTGAAAGAAGAGCAGATGACATCCATCAGAGAATCCAGGCAAGAATGCTGGGGTTGGAAAGAGCTCTGAATGTCCTGTGTCTGTGTGAGCTAGGAGCTAATGTTAATGTGGGCTCAGTGCTTTGTGCGTCAATTCCATTCTCTGCATTCATGAACTCAACACCAGTCGTCTCCATTCTGTATGTGAGGAAACTGAGGCACAGATCAGGGACAACTTGACCAAAGTCACTCTGCTAGTAAGTGTGGACCCATGGATAAAAGTCCAGGGAGAGGCTACAAGAATTGGGTTACCTGCCCTCAGGGCCACCTTCTCCAAGTAGCAGTCAGTTTTGGATGTCCTACGTAGCACATGCGCACACTGACAAGGACTGCCATTCAGCGGGCAGAAGGGGTTGGAAGGGGTAAAGACATGCCTGGTGTGAGCCCTGACAGGCAGCTGTTGGTTCCATTTGTTCCCTTGGTCTTCAGTCAGTGATGATTCAGAGAGATGGGAGTGGTATTGGCTATGCTCCATTTCTGGGAATAGAATGCGAAAGAAAAGGCGAGATCTGCCAACATCCTCATGGTCAGTTCTCATCCAGGTAGGATGAGAACTGGCCCTTCTGGGGGCCTTGGTGGGAGGGGGACCCATGTGGTAGCAGACAGCGAGCAGATGCCCAACCTGTTCCTTTGTTCCAGAGGGCTGGAACAAAGTGCAGCTGGGGCTCCAGCAACGGCTGGAAGACTGGATGCCGGACACTGCCCTCACCATATGGGACGGAATTGCTAAGTGTTCTAGGGCAAGCACCTGGAGCTCCCTCAAGGGAGCTTAGAACACACAAACAGTGACACAGCCTTCACACCCCAGGAATTCCTGAGAGCATCCAGCAGGACCTCTGGCCTGCTCCACGTGCATGGTGTGTAGTCACTGCATCTTGTTTCCTTACACGTGTTTGCATATGTGTGTCCACAGCTTCAAGGCTGATGGTGTTCATGTCCCAGAGTCAGAAGTCTGAAAGCTGTAGAGGGGCTGGGGTCATCATGAAAGGTCACCCCACACAGAGGCAGGAGGCTGAAATCCAGCCTGGAGAGTGCTGGAAGCCAGCTGACCCTACTTGGTTTGGGGAAAGCATGGCTGTGGGGTCGGGCAGAGCAGACTCAGATCCAGAGCCTATAGCTCCCTGGTTGTATGACTCTGGACAGATGCCCAACATCTCCCAGTGCAGACTTCTTAGTCCCCTGTGTAGGGAGTGGCAGAGCAGCCATAGGAAATACACACAGCATCTCTCGGGGTGCTCACATGAGCTGGCTCTTAGGGTTCCTCTTCAGCAGCTGAGATGGTGTTGCTTCTCATGGGCCTTATGCTAAGTCCTGTCCCTCCTCCTCCTCCACACCCTGCTCTCAGAGGTTGAAGCCCTGAGTACTGGCCCCCTTGCCCAACCCATCCATCCCAGCTCCTTCCATGCCCTCAATAGTGAAGACGAGAAATAATCAGACAGCAGCAGACAGGAAGGAGATCCAGGAGAGGAAAAAGAAAGTTTTATTAAAGCCCCAAACACTCGGCTAGAAAAACCAAAAAGGAAAGAGCAGGAAGGTGGGGAGAAGAAAAAGGACATTAAAAAAGAGACAGAAAAAAAACACAGCAACCCTTTTCCATTTAGAAATTGTCAAGTTACACCGACAGAGGTCACAGAATATCCACAGAAGCCATCACTGCTACACCAACATGGGCCCTACGGGGTGGACAGGGCAGGTGTGGAGCCGGGATGGCCCCGGGATCCCTCCCGGGACCCCACTCAGAGCCTCAGCCCTGAGGCTCCTGGGGAAACAGTGTATTGTGGAAGGGGCAGGAGAGGAAACCCCCCATGCGAATAACACAGCACAGTGGGCAGGGGCAAGGGGACCAGGTACAGGGGTCCCCAGGACATCATAGTTTCTCTTGGTCAAGCACACACTGATGGACGGAGCAGCGAGGCGCATGCAGCTGGGGTCATTGACGTGCTGTGGGTCTTGAGAGGCCAGGGGGACAGGGGCTTGGAAGAGCCGTGAGGGTAGTGCAGGAATGATGGGACACTCACGAGTGCACACACACGCGCACACACCCATAGAGGGACTCCCACACTCCTGTCTGCACCAGCACACGTGCACACATACACACCTGCAAACACAGGCCACATGCACCTCCATGTACATACCCCTGTCCATCCACACGTGGTCCCACACAAATAGCCAGGCATTTTTGCACACACTTTTCACATGTTCACACATTCGCATGCCAATGCCCAAACAGGTCACATGCATCTATGTGCACATACCTCCCCTGCATGTGATAGGTCATGCCTGTGGCACGCATGTCCCATGCATCTGCACACACAGTCATTGGGCTTGTGCTAGCATGCACTCACACACACACACACACACATACACACACATTGCACACACTCAGACGCAAATGCCTCCAAGCCCATAAATGTGCAGGAACCAAAGGGAAGAAAGCTGGACTCTACTTGAGAGGCTGGGGTGGGGCACGGCTCCCTCCATGGCCCCTCATGGATGGGCTTTCCCCCCTTTCCCTCCTCCCCCCACAACGGGACATTCAACTCAAGACAATGACAGTGGGGCACACACTCAGGTCACAGGGCTGAGTGGGGGACAAGCAAAGAGTAGCAAGCAGAGTGTAATGGCGTGAAGGGAGGAGGGGGGCACCTCTCCCCCACCCCTCCCAAGTCAGGGGTCTCTGTACAGCCAAATCAAACCAAACCGCTTCACTGGACCACAGAAGCCAGGCCGTGTGCCTGTCCCCAGCGCCCCTCCCCCCGCCGAAACAGCGGCTAGGGAGAGTGCCGTGATTTTTTTTCTTTTTTTAAATATTTATATATATTTATATTACGTATATCATATATATATAATATGTAAATATATTTTTAAAACAATATAAAATGTTAAGACACTTCACTTAAATGTAAAGAGTTGCCTGCAATTAAAAGTAATTGCATCATTTATGAGGTCCTTTTTTTTTTTCTCCTATTTTCTAGGGTTTTTTTTTTTTCCTTTCTTTTTCTTTTCCAGGAGGGATTTTTTTTTTCCTCTTATTATTTTTCAAAAAGGCTTGCTTGCCTTGGTACAAAAATGATCCAAAGCTAAAAAACAAAGATGAAACAACAGAAACCAAAAACCAAATTAATGACTATAACCCCGTTTCCCACCCCTCCCCAAGCCCTCAGCAGCTTCCCCTGCCTGATGCCCAAGCACCAGCCTCCCCATCATATCCCAGACTCTTGGGGTTCTGTCTCCTTCAATAGTCTCCTTCAGTGTCCTGTGCTTTAGGGGGAGCCAATCTCAAGGCCCACTCCTTGTGCTTAATACACCTTGTGCTCCAAATGGAACCTGGGGAGCCCATCCCATCCTTCCCCCTCCACATCACCTCCCTGCTGGCCCCTCTGTGCCCCCCCCCGGAGGGGGGGCGGGACTGAGAATGGACGTGGTGCTCTCCTCCTACAAGGGGCTTCAGCAAGGGAAGGCACCTGGCCTGCTGCTCAGGCCTTGGGGACCCTCAGACATCTCACCAGTGATCACTGGATCCCCACAGGTCTCACCCCGTTCCGTGATAACCCTCAAATCACAAAGATGGCTGAAGGCCAAGCTTCCCTCAGCTGCGGGGTCAAAGCCAGCTTATCCTCACCGCCCCCCCTCACTGCCGCCCCCATCACTGCAGTCAGTCTTTCCCCATTCCCCTCACCACTGCACCCTCCCCACCCTCAGGCCTCCAAATCTAATCTAGGCCCTTCAACCTCACCCACCCCACCCCCATTAAATAAGTTAATGGCATTTAAAGTGCTAAATTAGGAAACTAAAATGCCCCTCCCTGCGCTGCCCTCTCCCAAGGCAGAGCCCCAGCGGCAGAATGTCTGCAAGACCACCCTCCACCCGGCCTCCTTCCTCCCGTAGCACCGGCCCAGCCGCCTCCACCACACCACACAGGGCCCTAGTAAACCAGATCATCCCCAGGGACCCAGGGTCCACCTCACCCCCCAGCCTGAGGCCTCTCAGACTCGGGCTTGTCTCTGGCCAGTCCCATAGTCAGTCCCATCTGTCTTTCTTGCCCACTGTGGCTGGAGAGGAAGGGAGTAAGTAGAGTAGCAGCAGTGTTCACTGTCTCTTCTGAGGTTGGACAGGGAGTGGGGCATCTCCAGGGCCAGGGTCTCCCTTGTCCCATGGTCCAGCCTGATGCTGGGCTTGGTCCAATGTCCACCGCTCCTCCAGGAAGGGATGCTGTAAGGGGAGGAGTCTCTTGCTGCTCCAAGTCTCCGTGGCTCAGAGTTTGTTCCAGGTATTCTTGGGAAATTAGGGAGGGAAGGTAGGAGGGGTGGGGGTGGGGGTAGGGGTGGGAGGTGGGAACTTCAGGATGGACTTGGGAGGAAGAAGGTGAAAGAGAAGGAGAGAGGTGAAGGACGTGGGCGGAGGACAGGCCATTTGAGAACAAGAGGAAGTCAAGGATGGTGTGTTTGGTTTTTACTTGTACTCTTTTGCTTTTAAAAATTAAAAAAAAAAAAGATAATTGTGATTTATTTTAAAAACCAAAAACACCAATGGGGGATGAATACGAGGTCCGAGGAGGGCCCCACACACGTGGCGAGCCTTTGGAGGGTGAGGTGGAGTGGAGATGGAGGAAGTGAGGGGTGATGGCGGGAGTGAGGGAGGGCACAGGCTGGGAGGGAGATGGGAGGGGCTTCTAGAAGGAGATGGAAGAATTCCTCGCCCCAAAGGAAGTCAATACAGGGATGGAGGTTCTGGAACCCGAGGGCTTTTCTGAGACTGGGCTCGAGGTCTCATTCGACCCGCTCATCTCTTTAGATGGTTTAGTGGCCTGGAACAAAAACAGGGGTCAGGGGTCAGAGAGAGCACAGGAAAGCCTGCCTTGGCGCTGGCTCCCAGCTGAAGTTTTGAAAAATGGATAAACCTCCATAAGTCCAAGAGATAATTAACTGCAAAAGCGAGAGACCAGAGGGGCATCTGGAGACAGCGGTCCCCTGAATTGAGGAGGTGGGGCACTGGGCAGGGACAGAAAGGAAGCAGGGGAGGGCTGTGGGGTTTGGATCAAAGGGTCTAAAACCAGAGTAGGGTGGGGCCACCCATGGTTACTGATAGGGAAGAAAGAAGGCCAAAGAGAGACACCAAGAAGCACAGGAGAGACCCAGCCCCCAGGACAGGCAGAGGGGACAAGGTGGGGGGAGAGGAAGGAGAGAGGGAAGGGAGAAGAATGAAAGGTTAGCTGGGACAGGGATGCATCTGGAGGCAGAAGCAGAGGGGTCAGCAGCCCAGCCCAGCAATCAGGGAACATCCAGGCTTCAGCTGGAGGCCTCTGGGAGAGGCAGGCGTGAACCTGTCTTGACACTACAAAAAGCCCCAGCTGGGAATCTGGGTGAGAAGGCACTTGTGATACCCAGCCTCCCCTCAAGGTACAAAAGGCCCCATGGAAGCAGTGTCCCCCCAACTCTCAGCAACCCTTTTGGTAGAAAAGAGGCCACTCCCCAGGGCAAATGCTACACTCCCTGACTGGCTCCAGAACTTTCTGCTCACCTTCCTTCCCACCTCCCAGAGACTCCCTGGGTCTGTGCTGGTCTTGGAGGGTTGCTATCTGGAGCAGTGCTCTCACCTCCAAGGGGTAACATGTGGCATGGGTCACATAAGCAGACTCCAGGTTCCCTTCTAGAATTCTCTCAGATGTGAGCTGGGGAATGTGTATTTTAGCAGATGCCCTAAGTGAGTCTGCTACATATTTAACTTGGGGAACCCCGGGGTTAGGATAAAATAAACCAGGCTGGATTCTCTGGGTAACTGTATGCACTATGCCTGATAGGCTTATTTAGCTCCTTGTGTGACAACTCAAGAGCCCTTAGGAGACTGAGGCAGAAGACTTGAGAGTTTGAGGCCAGCCTGAGCTACAAGGCCAGAACTTGT